ACCCTTATTTTAATTCACATAATCCTTGAATTTACATATTTATATTCCCTCTTCTCCTTCCATAACTGATCCTTCAACATTATTGCTACCCCTTCCTTAGCTCTAACTCTCTCAGATACTCCTGACTTAATCCCATTTATTTTTCCCCACTGAAACTCGCCTACCACCTTCAGCTTTGTTTTTCTTAGGGTCAGGACATCCAACTTCTTTTCTGTCATAACATCAGCAATCATCTCTTTCTTATCTTTCATATTTATACTATTTTATTAAATATCTACTACTAATGTTTACTATATTTTCCCTGTAATTTGCTTTCTACCTGTAGCTAAACTTAGCTTTATACATATTCTTGTTGAATTATACAACTATCTGTGTTTCTGTGTCTCTTTTATCCTCCTGTCTCTTATCACAGTCACGGTAGTCTTTGTTTCATGTTCTGTTTTATGTATTTGCCAAATTTTTATATATGTGGTTTATGCTTGGATATGCCCAATCTTTTGTATCTTATAAGTGTATTAAGTTTTATTGTGTGTTTACTTTAATTATGCTAGATCTCCTACTGTGTTTTTGTGTTAGTATAAAAGCCTTTAATTATTTTTGATATTTCATTCTTTATGACCAAGTGTGTTAAGTTTTGTTTGTTCACTTTATCTTGGATCTCTTATTTTTTTGGTTAGTATAATAATATTTGAGTTATGTAAGTGAATTATTTTGATATGCTATTTTATTGTTTGATGAATGAACACTAGTGCATTGTTAATTATGTTCCTTCTTCATAGTTTTTTGTGGATCTTTCAAATATTTTTAGTAATAGTATTTGCTTGTATGTTTTGTGACTAAATCACATAATACTCTTACAGGTTTAGCAGCAACCCGGCATCCCTGAAAATGTGCTAGAAGCTTATGGGTTGGCCAACCAGGCACCAGATCAGACACACTGAGGAAATACCAGTGAGCTACTAGAGACCTTGACAACTCCAGTCCTGGAGGGTCAGACCAGCCTTGTAATCTGGAAATCTCTGTGGAAGCCTGAAGAAAGAATGTATAGAACAAATGGGAAAAGAGGGAAGTAACCAGAGACAGGATGTTAAGGCAAGGGAATTCCTTGGAAACTCCGGGAGTGAGTCCTTTAACGGACTATAGTCATCGGTGCTAGTATCAACTAAGTGTGTTCTGCTGTAATATTGTGGATCATTTTAATATTTAAAATATTTGATACTTGTAACATTTTCTTTTTGTTGGTGTCAAAATTTCAGATTCCCATGTAATGTATGTTTATTAAATTGTAAGTTGTTTTATCTGGGTATGTTTTACTTCATCTTTCGAGCCATGCATTTAGGGTACATTTGTCAAAATTTAAAGTGGGAAGTATATTGATACATTTTCTTCTTTTGGAGAGTCAAGCCTACGATAAGGTACCTACTGCTCAATTTTCAGGCCAGGCTACCCTAAGAGCCAGTACTTATCAGGATCAATACTTTGTTCTGCCTATCCCGTGTTATTTCTCATTGGGTTTTTCCTGTTCTAACCCAAATTCTGTATCTCTACATTCTCCTATGACTTTATCTACTTTTATCTCTTCCAGTGTTAAAAGAGCAGATGGCAGCAGCTTATTTCTAACAGAGAATAGAGTACTACCTCCTTTCCTCTAGTAATTTCCCCTTTTTTTATTTTTCTCCTTTAATCTTACAATTTTGTCCACACTGAATCTGCCTGAGGGAATAGACAATATGACATCATCGGGTGGTTTGTCGACCCTAGGATGGTACTGGGGACGTAGCTGTGCTTCACTACAGGCAGCGTAAGGTGAGCTTGTACGTGACAGGATGGTACTGGGGACGTAGCTGTGTTTCACTACAGGCAGCGTAAGGTGAGCTTGTACGTGACAGGGTGGTACTGGGGACGTAGCTGTGTTTCACTACAGGCAGCGTAAGGTGAGCTTGTACGTGACAGGGTGGTACTGGGGATGTAGCTGTGTTTCACTACAGGCAGCATAAGGTGAGCTTGTACGTGACAGGGTGGTACTGGGGACGTAGCTGTGTTTCACTACAGGCAGCGTAAGGTGAGCTTGTACGTGACAGGATGGTACTGGGGACGTAGCTGTGTTTCACTACAGGCAGCGTAAGGTGAGCTTGTACGTGACAGGTGGTACTGGGGACGTAGCTGTGTTTCACTACAGGCAGCGTAAGGTGAGCTTGTACGTGACAGGATGGTACTGGGGACGTAGCTGTGTTTCACTACAGGCAGCGTAAGGTGAGCTTGTACGTGACAGGGTGGTACTGGGGACGTAGCTGTGTTTCACTACAGGCAGCGTAAGGTGAGCTTGTACGTGACAGGGTGGTACTGGGGATGTAGCTGTGTTTCACTACAGGCAGCATAAGGTGAGCTTGTACGTGACAGGGTGGTACTGGGGACGTAGCTGTGTTTCACTACAGGCAGCGTAAGGTGAGCTTGTACGTGACAGGATGGTACTGGGGACGTAGCTGTGTTTCACTACAGGCAGCGAAAGGTGAGCTTGTACGTGACAGGGTGGTACTGGGGACGTAGCTGTGTTTCACTACAGGCAGCGTAAGGTGAGCTTGTACGTGACAGGGTGGTACTGGGGATGTAGCTGTGTTTCACTACAGGCAGCGTAAGGTGAGCTTGTACGTGACAGGGTGGTACTGGGACGTAGCTGTGTTTCACTACAGGCAGCGTAAGGTGAGCTTGTACGTGACAGGGTGGTACTGGGGACGTAGCTGTGTTTCACTACAGGCAGCATAAGGTGAGCTTGTACGTGACAGGGTGGTACTGGGGACGTAGCTGTGTTTCACTACAGCAGCGTAAGGTGAGCTTGTACGTGACAGGGTGGTACTGGGGACGTAGCTGTGTTTCACTACAGGCACCGTAAGGTGAGCTTGTACGTGACAGGGTGGTACTGGGGACGTAGCTGTGTTTCACTACAGGCAGCGTAAGGTGAGCTTGTACGTGACAGGTTGGTACTGAGGACGTAGCTGTGTTTCACTACAGGCAGCATAAGGTGAGCTTGTACGTGACAGGGTGGTACTGGGGATGTAGCTGTGTTTCACTACAGGCAGCATAAGGTGAGCTTGTACGTGACAGGGTGGTACTGGGGACGTAGCTGTGTTTCACTACAGGCAGCATAAGGTGAGCTTGTACGTGACAGGGTGGTACTGGGGACGTAGCTGTGTTTCACTACAGGCAGCATAAGGTGAGCTTGTACGTGACAGGTGGTACTGGGGACGTAGCTGTGTTTCACTACAGGCAGCATAAGGTGAGCTTGCACGTGACAGGGTGGTACTGGGGATGTAGCTGTGTTTCACTACAGGCAGCATAAGGTGAGCTTGTACGTGACAGGCAGTAAACAGCAGCTACACTCTGGCTGCACACTTTTCCAGAACATCACTTCATCTGGGATCATTTATTACTCGGATGACTCGACTCTGGAACATGTTCATACAACATAAAGAATTCAGCGAAACAAAGTCAGTTAACTAAATGAAATCACTGGCCCATAAATAGCTCCATCTTCATCCCATTCCAGACCGATTCGGGTACCATGGTCTTGTGTGCCGTAAATCCGAGGGAAAGATTGCAAGACATGACGAGGTTAATAACATTATCAAGAGGAGCCTCACAACAGCTGGATGCCCAGCAGTAAGGGAGCCACCCCAACTATGCAGATCTGATGGCAGCCAGAAGCGTCCAGATGGTATCACCCTTCAAGCCTGGACAGATGGGAAGCAGGTGGTGTGGGACTATACATGTGCATCTACCTTGGCTGATACCTATCTCCAATACACCAGGGAGGAAGGAGGGGCAGCTGCCAGCTTCAGGGAGTCCCAAAAGTCTAGAAAATATGGAGAACTTGCCCATCATTATATGTTTGTTCCCATAGGCTCAGAGACCCTTGGCTCATGGGGAAAGAGTGCATCTAAATTCCTTAAGGAGCTGGGAAAAAGACTCATCAGGGTAACTAGGGATCCCAGGGCAGCTAGTTTTCTGTTCCAGCGGCTCAGTGCAGCTGTTCAAAGGGGTAATGCCTGCTGTATTTTGGGCACACGCCCCAGCTCTGAGGAGCTGGATGAGATTTTCGCCTTATAATCGGTGATACACACGTAACAACATGTACCGTATGTGCCACCTTTATATCAATAGTGTATCTCTTGGATCTTCTGTACCATATTATATATATATATATATATATATATATATATATATATATATATATATATATATATATATATATATATATATATATATATATATATATACACACACACACACACACACACACACATACATACATACCTCATAAAATGAGATAAAGGAGGTAACAGGTCTTAGCTTGTTAGATTAACGGTTTCTTGTTAGAACTCTTAAGTAAAAAAAAAAGGAAGAGAGGAGAGAGAGAGAGAAGTGAGAGGAGTGGAGAAGAGGAGAGAGAGAAAAAAGTGCGAAACTACATGTTTGTATAAGTTTCAACGTATGTCCGGTCATACCATCAATACAGCGGATAAGTCTATTTCTTAGGGGTTCGTCCATCTCCAGTAGTCAAGTAATTAAGCGTAATACATCTGCCTAATTGAAACTTCCAATATAAAGGATTTAAGCTAAAACAGACACCCTTTCTTGTTTGTTAATCCAGTTACTCGGCTTGTTACTATATACATCTGAGCATTCATACAGACTCATGTATGTGTGCATATATACACACAAATATATTTTTACATTTAGTTGCAATTAGAATTTTATCAGCACTCTTCACTATCCCTCTTGAGTGTATCAAGTTAGAGGAATGATGAGCGACGGATCTTGACCATACATTTTTTAGATCATTCAGTGACCAAAATACAACTACAAATTGATTTGAATTGTTATGCCTATGTACATCTGGCAGAGCAGTTATTATATGAATAATAACACAATGTAATTTCTGTTTTGGGTCACCTGACCTTGATGACCAGTGTGTTAAAAAAATATATACTGTAAATACTTACCATGAAACTATTGCTTTATATACATCAAACTCATTTATGATGTAAAAATCTTGTTGCAGTATCTGTCTCAGAGCAGTTCGACTTAACTGGCCAAAGTGAGGTGATGAAAAAGCAGCAGATGCAGAGACTCTCACAATCTGTAACATATATATATATATATATATATATATATATATATATATATATATATTATATATATATATATATAATATATATATATATATATATTATATATATATATATATATATAACATTTTTATTATATAATGAATAATTATTCAATAGTTCTTTAACAACAAAGCAGTTAAAACCATTCATTCACACAACAAATCATAAAAAAATTATAATAATTATGAAAATTGAATGGTGGTTTGATTGATGTTGAGAGAGGATGAGATATATTTAATTCAGGGACTGTAATATACTATATTGAGCTGCTTAGCTAAACTGTATAGAAGTGACCTGTGTTAGTAAACAAACGTTAGAAAAATATTATGTACCATAATGCATTTATTAAGGAGGTGGACATCTTCATGTAGAGCAGCGGTATCGTATACCTCAGGAAAGTTGTCTGGATTCAGCTCACGCTGAAGAAACTGTTTGGGAGAGAAAAATCTTCAGTAATATCACAATAGCAATTCTAAAGAGCTTCACTAATTTAAAACTAATTTTAAGAACTTATTTAATAAATAAAGGTTTACTTTTTATCATATCCCTTAAACTTTATGTTTCGGTCATTGTGCAATTACGAAAATTATCTATCCCCAATAACCACAGTCCCTCATGTTGCAAAAAGAAAGTGTAACACTGATAAGTGGGGATAAAAGGCAGTAATGGAAGTGAAATTCTTTATTGCAGCATTTCACCTCTAGATGAGTTTTTATAAGTCCGCCAAAAAGGCCCACCTGTGAGTGAAACGTATTAAAATGTTCTTTTTTGGACCCCTACTTTAAGGGTCCAAAAAAGAACTGAGACCAGTTGTGCCACCACCATCTTCCCTTCCAGCTATCAAAGTGTGAAACTGGCAGAAAGATGCCATATTTGCACCAGCTTAATTACATTATGGTAGATAAGACACATAGGCAACATTTAGGCAATTTTATTCCGAAACGTTTCGCCTACACAGTAGGCTTCTTCAGTCGAGTACAGAAAGTAGGCGGGAGAAGTAGAGATGTGAAGACGATGTAATCAGTCTGTCGGTATTGTATACCATTTGATAATTACTCTGTCAGACACTGCAACACAATGGCATCTTGGTACAGAAGAGAAAACACCTTGGACAACTTTTTCAAGTGAGAACTGTTTGATCTGAGAGAGACCTGACCTCTCAGTGGCTACATTCTCACTACTTCTACTCTGCATCTCTCCTTCCGACAGTATTTAAGTCTCAACACTGTCACTTGATCTTTACATATGTACTCTTTTTACAGCGTAGCAGACCACACTTCATGATGCACTTCTCGAACAGGGTAAAGATCAAACCAGAGAGTGGGACAGTCAATGACTCGTCAATGCAGCTGTCGTCAGTGGCAGACTGCAAGTCAAGTTTAATGCAATTCTGTCGCTCAAAGAGACCTTCTTTGTCGTCTGTACTGACGACACCGAGGCTGAAAAACTTATTAACACCACTGCTACAACCACTCTACGAGATCAGGAATTTATTGTCTTGACTTCCCCAGCTCTGAGGGCCAGGAGAACTGTGTTCCTCAAGAGACTCGACAGGCTCATCACTGCCCAGGCTACCGAAGAAATCAAGTCGTCCATTGAAGCACAGAACCCTTGGGCCAAGGTGGAATTCATTACCAAAATACCCAATGCCTCCTCCATGCTGAACGTCACCTTCAGTGACGTCAACATGGCAGCCAGAGCTCTCGCTGAGGGACTAGTTATTCACTACTTCCACATCAATCCAGCCTTCATCGAAGCAGAAAAATTCCATCAAATTCCACAGTGTTCCAACTGTTACTCATACCTACATACCACCAAAGACTGCCCTGCCAAGAATAAGAAGTTCTGCTCCACCTGCGGCCAAGAACGTTATGATTTCAAGACGTGCACTACTGACTCTCCACCTAAATGCTTGAACTGCAAGAATGATCACCATACTCTTGCTGCCAAGTGCCCAACCAGACGAGATATACTTAAGAAACAACTCCAACAACAAAAAAAAAAACCCACTGCACAAGCGACTACATATGCTACTATTACCAAGCTTCAAACAGATACTACCAAGATTCTTCAAGCCACGCAAGCTGCATCTACCACTTCTTCGCCAGCTCTTGCTGGCGACTCCACCAAGATTCTTTACTGCATCATGTATGCTCATGTGCAAAATGTAGCTGAACCTGGTTCCTTCAACACCACCATCAACGAACTCTTCAAGCTCAACATCATGCCTGGGTTTCACATTCCCTGCATCTCCACCTTCCACAGAGATCATAAAATCCACTGCAAATGTCTCCAACATTACCGCTGCTCCACCGCTACCACACCTTCCTCCCGACACAGAGATGGACCAAACAGAGACCACTGAGACGCCGACCGATTCCACCAATGAGAGTCCATCAGCACCTGCTTCCACCTCCGTCTCAACGGACCAATCAGACGCCTCACCTCAAACGTCTCAGCCGCCAGCCAAGAAGGTTAAAACACAAGAGCCTTGGGATGCATCCCTACGTACTACCGCCACTCCTTCACAAGAAGTCCACTGCTTGCCTGATGTATACTTCTACATAACCAACCAGAATGAGAACGCAATGTACACTCTAGAAATTATTCAACGCCTCCACAACGGGACAGTCAAGATCACCTGCGACTCAACTCGATCATTCACCACTGAATCCCTGATCAACCTACTCTCAAAAAGTCACCGCTTTGTGGCACTCGACTACACCTCAAGGAAGAAATTCAGGACTCTCCAGAATGGGGCTGCCGAAGACGGTACCCTCACCTAGCAGGACTGTCAATGATCAATCATCGTGAAGGCAAGTTTCCCCAGCACTTTGCTGCCTGCTAAAGCTGGGGTGTGGCTCCAAAAAAGAACCCTGTAATTGCTGCCTCCGCCCTCCTATGCTGCTGAAGATGCTAAACGAGAAGATACTTCCCATTTGGGGAGTCACCGCAAGACAGAAGAAGTCACCCTCCAACCGGAGGGCCCCAAGGAACAATACAGAAGAAAGAAGAGGATGAACGACACCCCCCGCCCGGGAGGCTACCGCCGGGTCGCCATCTGGAGAAGACCCGGACCGGAAGTACCGGCAAACCTACAACAACAACTTGATCTTCAGTCAGTTCCAGACTTTGGAACAGAGCTTCACCAGGCTGAGGGACTGACAACCTCAAATCTTCGACTTCAAGGGTGATGGACTGATTACATCGTCTTCACACCTGTACTTCTCCCGCCTACTTTCTGTACTCGACTGAAGAAGCCTACTGTGTAGGCGAAACGTTTTGGAATGAAGTTGCCTAAATGTTGCCTATGTGTCTTATCTACCAACTTGTCGGTATTGTATACCATTTGATAATTAATTACATTATCATCAATTTCATGATACTTATTCTACACTCTACACTATGTAGACTTTTAATCAAGGATAATCCGGTAACGTCGAACAATGTGATATACTTCCATGATCTGAAGAGTATCACACTTACAAACACTATTTTGGAAAATTTTGATAATTTCCTGTAATCTGTATAATAGCTGAAGAATATAATGGCATTTATATAACGTAGTGTAGGTATGTAGTGTTGATGTAACTTAATAAATGTCAAGCCACAGAAGAACCAACATCCCCTATAATTTACCTTCATTTGGTAATTAGTTAAGTAAAATGTAATTGTTATATTAAAAAATCTAATATTTTAATAAGGAACATGTATTACACATTTAGACGTTGAAGACTGAGACACTGCAACATCATGGGATCTTGATACAAAGAATTCTTCAACCTTGTCCAACCGTTGGACGAAGACCTACTTCGACTAGTGGATGGTACCACTATGACGCCGCCTCCTCCTGCTTCACCTCACCTCACTACAGTATATAAGTTACCGCCCTATGCTGTACATTCTACAAGATTGATGGACTGAACACATCTACTCCAGGCTGAGGGACTCATTACCTCAAACTCCTCTCCTTACACCCTTCTGATTTGTATTGGACTGATGAAGCCACTGTGTGGCGCAACGTTTCCTCAATAAAGATTCCCATATGTTGGATAAGTGTCTCAATCTTCAACTTGTCGGTTTTTAAACCATTTACCACACTTAGAAGTGTTATTGAATTTACTGAACAGATGAATGTGTAGGGAAAGGTTTTGTGGGAGGAAGCCGGGGCAGTGGCATAATGTGTGTTGTGATAATGAATGATATTAATCATGGGTCATCAGGGTCAATAGAAATATTATCACCAAGAAATCTATCATGACAGGAACACCTAATGTTTGGGTGTACCTGGAAAAGTCCAGATCTGCGAATAACTGTCAGATTGGTGCTCTTAATAATAGAAAATGGGACACAGTGTTAACAGGAAGAACTGACCACAGTGTACTCACCTAGTTGTACTCACCTAGTTGTACTCACCTAGTTGTGGTTGCAGGGGTCGAGTCATAGGTCCTGGCCCTGCCTCTTCACTGGCCGCTACTGGGTCACTCCTGCTGCACTATGAGCTTCATCATACCTCTGCTTAAAGCTATGTATGGATCCTGCCTCCACTTCATCGCTTCCCAAACTATTCCACTTCCTGACTACTCTGTGACTGAAGAAATACTTCCTAACATCCTTATGATTCATCTGAGTCTTTAACTTCCAACTGTGTCCTCTTGTTGCTGTGTCCCATCTCTAGAACATTCTGTCTCTGTCCACCTTGTCAATTCCTCTCAGTATTTTATACGTTGTTATCATGTCCCCTCATCTCTCCTGTCCTCCATTGTGTTCCAAACTTGTGCTGCATACTCCAACATGGGCCTAACGTACACATTGTACAGGGTCCTGAACGATTCCTATTAAGATGGCGGATGGCCATTATTACTGCCTGCTTATAGGGAGGCGTTAGGATATATCATCAAAACCATAATTTGGTAAGGTATATATATATATATATATATATATATATATATATATATATATATATATATATATATATATATATATATATATATATAACCCTGAGGTTTTGTGTGCGAGGGGCTTGGACTTCCAGCAGGCATGCGTGAGCGTGTTTGATAGGAGTGAATGGAGACAAATGGTTTTTAATACTTGACGTCCTGTTGGAGTGTGAGCAAAGTAACATTTATGAAGGGGTTCAGGGAAACCGGCAGGCCGGACTTGAGTCCTGGAGATGGGAAGTACAGTGCCTGCACTCTGAAGGAGGGGTGTTAATGTTGCAGTTTAAAAACTGTAGTGTAAAGCACCCTTCTGGCAAGACAGTGATGGAGTGAATGATGGTGAAAGTTTTTCTTTTTCGGGCCACCCTGCCTTTTTGGGCCACCCTGCCTTGGTGGGCCACCCTGCCTTGGTGGGCCACCCTGCCTTGGTGGGCCACCCTGCCTTGGTGGGCCACCCTGCCTTGGTGGGCCACCCTGCCTTGGTGGGC